TACAGAGTCAGCATATGGCCTCCAACAATCTGGGTCCTCATTTTACCAACTTTGGAAGGATGGAAGACTGAGTCAACCTTGAGCTGGTGAGTTTTGAACTGCCGAACTGCAGCTAGAAGTCAGCTGAAGTAGCCTGCAGTACTGCACTCTAACCACTGTGCCCCCTCGGCTCTTATGAGGTTATGTGGAATTGAAAATCAGAGCAGTTTTTAAATGGTTTATGAAATTAACTCTCTTTACTTAATTACAATTACATAATTTGCTATATTGAATATATTGCTATATTCAATAGCCACCTTAATTCATTCATTGTTTCAGCAGAATCCTGTACGTAAAGATTGAACATACCAGGAGGTAACTGTAATGGCAGTGGTGCTGCTGTCATTGTCAAGCATGTTTTGATCTGGTCCTTTCCAGGTGATGGTTGGTTTGGGACGCCCACAGACTTTGCACTGCAACATTACGGTGTCTCCAAGCAAGCAAGTGACATCCACTAAGGGCACGAGAAACTCAGGAGCAACTGGAGTAAATGCCATACACAGAGACACATCACACTCACAAGAGACATTAACGATTTCATTTGAAGTAGTGAAACAGCTGTCAAGCAAGGAGTCGTGGGTTTTGGTCCAAGAAAACTCCTGCTTCATAGAAAGTGAAAATAGAAAAAAATATTCCCCCTTCTTCCCATTTCTGTGGCATGTTTTCAGAAATGGGGAAAAGAGAAGGCCTCAAAGACCTCCACAGCTTAGAAGAATTATCACCATGGTTTTGTGACGACTCCAAGTATCAACTTTAGTTTGAAGTGTCATTTTTTCATAATACAACATTGAAATCTTATTCATATCCTGAACATTTTAAACAAGATCTATAGTGAATTTCCTCATAAAACTGTGCTTGTAGAATCTTTGAAACGGAAGTGATTATCTGCCCTCGAGTCACAGTCACCACAAAGATAGGTTTTCTCTGTTACAATCTATTCCTAACTTGGCCACTCAAGCCTTCCACTGATGTTGAAATAGAACTATGGGATACATTTTCCCAATTATTTGTACTTTGATTAGTTTTTATCTTTGGCATTTCTGGATACGTGGGCTGTTTTTTTAATTTAAAAGGTATAAGCAGCATGGGTGTTCATATTTTAATGAAAAGGCAGGTATAAATTAATTTAATCAATAACAATGTTCAGGGAAGATAGCGAGTTTGTATAAATGTGACGCAAAATAAAAGCAAAAAGGAATCTCAGAATAATTTGAAAATGGCTTAGCTAAAATAAACAGAATTAAATGAATTATAATTCAAACTACCAAATCTGGGCTGAAAAAGTTTGGACACAGATTTCTGGATCACTTTTCTGCCATCCTATAGTTTGCAGATTTTAGGAATTCATAGACTGTAGTTTAAATGATACTATAGGGAAAGCAAAGTCAGTTTAATTTGCTGTCCAATATATTCTTTGGGACTGTAGTAAGAATGTACTTAGTATCATGTCTGCCATTGTTGAGACAAAATTACCCATGTTTGGGGAAATAATATTATTTCCCTTTTCATTTTTTTAAACATGGAAAAATAAAGACTTAAACAAGAGTATGTCTTTAACTCACCTTCCTGGATGAAATTTGGGTTGATGATCTGAAAAATATATACATATGTACACACACACACGAGAAATAGAAAAAGGTTTATTTAATTGGTTATTGGAAAAAGGAAATGCTCTCAGAGAGATATGAATAAGTCTTAAAAATAATGAGGAACTGAAAGTACATCATGAGAAGTGTGGTTCTGAACATTGTGTTTATTGTAACAGCTCCTTCTGATCTCTACATCAAGATTTCAGGATCCTTTAATTGGCCAGATCTTGAAAAAACTTTAAGAGGAGCAGAAATGAGCTAGCAGTCATGAATGTACTTGTAAATGAACCATAGATTTACTGCCCATAATCTTTGGCCTTTCTTCTTATTCACATCCCATGAACAGCAGACAATCTTCATGAGTGGTTGGGAGTAAGATAATCATCCAGGTCATTGTTGTCCCAAAGGTGCTTTTTTAAAGAGACAACTGGACTTTCTTGTTTTTCTTTGAAAATGTTTCACTTCTCATCCAAGAAGCTTCTTCAGCTCTGACTGGATGGTGAGGAATGGAAAGACTTATATTCCTTGCAAGACAACTGGTCATTTGCATTCTTTTTAGACAGCCATTGAGGCCACTTGGAGATGTCTATGTCCTAAGGGTCACCTGAGTAGTGCAAATGGCCGAGGAGCCTTCTTGGAACTGCTGAAAGGACTGTGTTGTGGAGCTGTGCTTTCCGCAGAATGTTTTCTGCCCCACCTCTCTTCACTCTGTTGAACACAGGCACAGGCTGCTGGTCTCCAAGTGGCCTCAACAACTCTCTAAAAGAATGCATATGACCAGCTGTCTGCAAGAAATATAAATCCTTCCATTCCCCATCATCCAATCAGAGCTGAAGAAGCTTCTTGGATGAGAAGTGAAACGTCTTCAAAGAAAAACCAGAGAGTCCAGTTGCCTCCTGAAAAACCACCTTTGGGACAACCATGACCTGGATGACTGAGAATCTCCATAGGCATATTGGAGTTCTACAGCACTTTGGACTCCATTCCAAACAGGTGGTTTNCTGTCACAGATGTATATATATAGGTATATAAAAACATGTGTGTATTCGAATGCAATGTTGTGCCAAAATTTCAAAGCAATCAGTGAAGAACTTTCAGAGGTTTAAGATTTTGAACAAACGAACATTTACATTTTTATTTATATAGATTATTCTATTCTTTCATTAGGGAGTTGAGAGCAAAAGGTAGGAAAGGGGAGGATGAGCAGTTAGTGCTGCCAACTATTCTACTTGATTGCCTTCTTTCCCTCTTAAGATACATCCAGAGGTTTAAAACCTAGAGTAAGCTCTCATCACCTTTGCCTGCTTTAGATACCATTTGTCCTGCTTGCAGCCACAGCAGAAAGAAAGAATAGGTAGAGTAAAAGCTAGCAGTACATATAGTCCTCATCTTACCATCATTTGTTCAACAATGGTCCAAAGTTATGATTACCTTGGAAAAAGGGACTTACGACTTGTATTTGCATTTATAAACATGTGGTGGTGGTACAAATTGTTGTACCACCTCCTTGTCCCATCATTGCCATTTGGGCACTTGGTAACCAGCTCATATTTATGACTGGTTGCAATATACTGCAGTCACAGGATGGTAATTTTGCAATGTTTTGCCAGCAAAAAAAGTCAATTGTGGAAGTTGTATTATTTTAATAACCATGTGATTCACTTAATGACCACGGAGACTTGTTTTACAGTCATTGTAAAAAATGGTTGCAAAATTGGGTCTGGTCCCATGATGACTCTACTTGCGACTGAAATTCCAGTCCCAATTAAATTTGTAAGTTCAGAACTACCTATATAGCTATTATGGCAGCTTGTCTTTCTCTGGCCTTACCAGCAGTGCTATATGGTGCTAGTAAAAATAGTCAACATGTAGGGCCATGAAAATTTGCCTATAACTACAGTGCTGGAGGAAAGTGTGACTGTGTTAACTACAAAATTCAGTGGCGAAATAAATATATGACAGGTACACAATTCAGGTTTTCCCACGCAAAAGCCTCACAATGTTTGCACCTTCTTCTCTGTACTCTACTGTGTAGCCTGAAATGGTACAGTTGCCTGTGCTGGATGGAGGCAGCCAGCGGAGAATCACTGAAGTGCAACTTCTTTCCTGAGCAATAGGGCGATTTGGGGCAGCTGGAACCCCTGGGATGAGGAAAGAGAGAAGAAAGAAGCAATTAGCAGAGGATTAGAGAAGAACTTTGGAGTCCCAGTTAAGGGGCAAACAGCAAACAGATTTACTATCAAATCTTTTTCCTTTCTCACCCTCAGTAATTTTAAGTTGTGTGGACTTCAATTCCCAGAATTCCTCAGCCACAATGGAAAGAAGAGTGTTGGGAAGATTAAAGACTGGACTATTGGATAGATTCCACCTCAGTGTTTCTCCCCCTCAGTAATTTTAAGTTGTGTGGACTTCAATTCCCAGAATTCCTCAGCCACAATGGAAAGAAGAGTGTTGGGAAGATTAAAGACTGGACTATTGGATAGATTCCACCTCAGTGTTTCTCCCCCTCAGTAATTTTAAGTTGTGTGGACTTCAACTCCCAGAATTCTCCCGATCTGGGAGACCACACATCATAAATTTGTTGAGATTAGACTGCTCTAAAGGATTAATCACTTTTTCCTCCAAATAATTGGATCAGCCTTCATGTATGCTATACTTCTAAATAAAAAGGTAATCAACAAAATGCCTAATGACTGATAATAACTTGGCACAGTAACATACGGTAATATATAGCAGGAAAACATACCAGTCGCTGGGAGTTTCCTGGAGGCTTGCCTGCCTCCTTCCACTTTTTTGTTTTTCTGAATTTCAAATACCCTTTAAAAGTTATACCTTTCCAATATTTAGGTTGATAGATATTACTAGTTACAATCAGCAATTATGTTAAACTGCACCAAAAATAATGCATTTTAAAATTGGATTGTGTTAAATAAGAAACTTAATCTGTCCTGTGGGTTACATATTTTTTTTTTAATGGATTAAAGCAACACTTCTAGGGGAGAAATTAATTCTTTCCCATGACTTTATTTTCCCCTGATTGTTTTGCTTCTCAGATGTTCTTTTTTTGGCAGAAGAATACAAAGAGAGAGAGAATGTAGAGTTGTATGGGTGGGGAAAGGTGGAGTTTTACTGAAATCAGCAGGCGAGGAGAGGATTAAACGTGTCCTCTATTTACTAATGCTAGAACATCGTAGAAAATAAAGTGCTATCAATTTTCAGTTGACAATAATTTGTGTAAATTTACTTCAAAACAGGTTTACATGTAAAAACTGGCATGTCAGCCTTTCAAAGTGGGGATTTTTTTTCATGAAAAGGAAGAATTTAAACATGCAGTTGATAACATTTCAAATGGCATGTGCTGAAGAAGCAGGGTTGTCAAACTTGGATGTATCATGCACTGGCCATGCCCAAGCCCGGTTTAGTGAATGGGGAAAAAGTTGCAATCTGTCATGTGACGACACAAGTTTGACACCCCTGTTCTAAATTCACTATAGGTTCACTCCCTGAATGTGACTTCTGATGACTGTATTCATGGATTTGAGACAATAATACAGAAAATGGCTTGCCACAACCTCCTTCTAGGATTCAAGTTTCAGATGTAGCCCTCATCTTAGATATGGCCTCCTGGACTTCCAGCCAAGTCTGTATCATTGCACATTTCTCAGTCTTAAACGATATTAGCTAAGGTCAGGGTGGCTCAGTGGCTAAGATGCTGAGCTTGTCGATCAGAAGGTCAGAAGTTCAGTGGTTCGAACCCCTAGCGCTGCGTAATGGAGTGAGCTCCTGTTACTTGTCCCAGCTCCTGTTACTTGTCCCAGCTGCCAACCTATAAGTTCGAAAGCATGCAAAAATGCAAGTAGAAAAACAGGGACCAATTTGGTGGGAAGGTAACAGTGTTCCGTGTGCCTTTGGTGTTTAGTCATGCTGTCCACGGAGACGTCTTTGGACAGCGCTGGCTCTTTGGCTTTGAAACAGAGATGAGCACTGCCCCCTAGAGTCAGGAATGACTAACACATATGTACGAGGGGAACCTTTACCTTTAGCTAAGGTCAAAGCA